GGCCCGGCCCGGCAAACCCGCAGCCTCCGCGCTCCCCTCGCCGGTGCCGGTACCCGGCGTGTCTCTTCCTTTCATCCGTTGGAGCTGCGAGTCCTCGGGTCACGTTTTCAGCGTTGTTCTTGACAGCGCGAGAGGGTTTGAGCTTTTAAGAGACACACCCGATACCGAGAGGCTTGAAAAAAATTTAATGAGCCAGTTAACACTGAACAACGAGGACTAACCTAAAAACCGTTCCCACATCCTACTTAAAATATGTACAATTTTGTCAACTGTATATATACATTGTAATCTTTGCCCCTTACAGTCTATTTATAGATGAGTTCCTTAGGAATTATACCTGTTAGATGTGGAAGATGAACAGCACAGCGTTGTAGCAGCCGTCGCTGGGCAGTAGTATTTCCGCGGCCCAGCCTGGGCGCCGGTGACCCACCTGTGAGGCCGCGGGGGAGTGACTCGCCGCACGCTGCAAACAGCGCATCCAGCTCGGACGCTTGGCTGCCTTTGAAATGTTCCGAACAGGGGTTTAAGTGTACTACACTGTGTGATTCATCCCCTTTGAGAAAGAAGAAAAAAAAACCAACAAAAAAAACCCCCAAACCCACAACCCCAAAACCAAGGCCAGAACAAACCGTGCGGCCTCTGTGCGGCAGCATGGGCAGGCTATAATTGCAGAGACGTTGACTTACATTGGTCCACGTCTCCAAACATCCCCGTCACCCCAAAATGCTGCTGCTCCACGGAAGGTCTACAAACCCCTGTAAAGCAGCGATCCCCCTGTGAAGAGCGATTCGTCAAGTAAAGCCTAATTTTACGACATCCCAAAATTACACAACAGAACAGCACCTCTTGGAAGAGTTTCGTGGTTCAAGTAAGAGACAAAGCAATACAACGAGTACAACTGGATTCACAGCTCTAGGTTTTCAGTCCAGTTAGCAGAATGAGATCCTTTTCAGGCATTCCTTACTGGGGATAGCTTCACTTTTTATTTTCTGAAGCAAAGCCTCTTATCTGCATCGAAGTGGGGCAGTATTATCTTTCATTGATGTTTTCTGCACTTTCTGAACTCCCTTCTGCTACTTTATTTCCCCTTTTTTGGAAAGAAACCCAAGAAGTTCTCTGAGAAGTACTTCTGCCAAAGAAACTGCAGCATCAGCCACCAAGCTCGAAACAATTTAAGTACACTGATAGGAAAGTCACAGACAAACGGACAGGCAAACAGATAAACCTGAGAATGCAAGTGAAAAATTACTGGGTGAGTAGTGTCAGACCAATCCAATACTTACTCAGTGGTTTTACAGGATGAATAGAGAAAAAGCTAATTAATTTAATCTGATTTACTAGAAAATATTAAGCTTACAGATGATACAATGTCTGCATAATTTTAGAAAAATCATCAATTTCATGGTTTATTTTACAATAATTGGATTAGTCTACAAGTTAAGGCAAACATACTAATGCATTTGCTTTTCTTTTTAAATCATAGTTATAAAGGTTACACAAAGTTCTCCAAAATTTCTAAGAAATGTTCACAATTGAAAAAAAGATTAAGTTTCTTGATATCGGTACATGGAAAAAAAACCTAAGACAGTGTATACAATGCCATTATAGTAACAATATTCAAATATCTAATGGTAATATTTAGGCCATTTGAACAATGTGCTTCAAATGGTGAACTTCAGAAATTACTTACAAAGGTAAATAAGATTGGCAGCCGTATCATAGTATTCATAACATGAACATAATTATATTGGCTATTTTCACAAAAACAGAGCATTTGGTTTCTGAACAATGAAAGCATATAATGATTAAATAAACATGAGTATGTATGTATAACACGTATGCTGTTGCTTCATATAGTCTGGAGCTACTTTTAGGTGTTTGTTTTAATTCTTTTGAAAGAAGGAGCTTGCTTATGCGCACTTTGTCAAATGTTTTCTCCAGAGAACTGTAAATGCCTATTTAAAGTCATGGAAAGAAAATCCAGAGGAGGGCAGCCCTTGTTAGTGGGAGGACGGAGCGTAGCTTATGTGTCACCATTTAACACTGCCAGGCAGCTCTGCAGCAGCTGTAAGTTACCCTGTGAAAATAAAGAAAAATATGACCACATTTCCCTACTTTCCTTTATGCTTGTAACAAAAAGATGATTTTTAAATAGCAATGACACCACTAAAGGAGAACAGAAAGGTATTAAGCTTATGTAGAAATATTTCTGCAAGTAACTTTTATATTAAATAGCTTTTTTGTATGTAGGAGCACTGCATCATGGAACTAAACGGAGCCAACGTGAGATTCAAAAATAAGCACTTAGTACCCTTTCCATATTTCTTCACAAGTTTCTTACCAAGATCTAGTCTGGCCACAAAAACTATTCCCTGCAGAGTACTCTCTTAGCAAGAAAGTTCGAAGTTACAAAGTTTTCATGTCTTATAAAGTATTGCCATTACTCTGTCACTGGAACGGTATTCCCAAAGCAGAAATATTCATATTATACTGAATTCACAGCATTCGGCACCTCCTCACTATAGCAGCCATCAGAGCTCACAGCTCCATTCAAGGACACACCTTGTTTGAAAGACAACAGACTGATTTACTTGCTGGGCCCGGTGATTTAGCCATTAGAGCTGAAGCTATCAGAACATTAACTAAACTTTATCTCTAAGGCTAAGTTCTGCCCTTCTTTTCAAACATCTGTAGGTCAGTTTTTAATCCTATTTAAAGCATTGTGACTCTACCATAAACACATACAGGTTGACTTTCAGATTTGTGAATGAATTTAAAGAACTGGCACTTAAAGACAGTCTTGTGAATTAAGCAAATGTGATCAACAAGTAAGCCAGGATTCACTTTCCAGAAAAAAAAACAAACAACCAACCTGGAATTCACAGTATTCACATTGTTTGGTGCATTCATTTATGCTTAGATCACTTTACTGGCTATTCACTATTAAATAGCTGTACTAGATTTGTTGCCAAATCTGAAATCTCTGTGTAAGAAACAATATTAGCCAGCCACTCTACTGAAGTTTTCCAAATAGGCAAATCATTTATTTTCATTACATCAAATTTACAAAGTTCACAAGAGCAACCTTATCTAAATAATAATAAATCAAGGACAATAGAGGCTGTGAGCTATTACTCTTTCTGGCTGCAACATCTGACGTACTTGACTTACATCAGCATAGCTTAAGAAAATCCTATAAATTCAGATTCAGAAAAGTGTTTCTTGCCAATTCAGGCTCCTAAGCTCTAGATATTACAGTTACTGGCAGAACCATGGTGACAGAAACATCATTTTCAGGAAAGAACAAATTACTGACAAAGCATTTAACCAAATCCCTCAGCATCGGATTTTGCTCACTCCCTTCTTCTGTCAGTTCCAAACAGACATCTGTTGCCACTAATGCAACAAATTCTTTTTCCACAAAAACCCACAGAGGCAACAGCAGATATATTAGTATTTGTGGAAAGAGCTGTTTAGATATTTTTATTTTTTATTTGAAGGAAACGGCTTAGTTGCAATTAATTTGTCAAAAGACTCTAAAAGTATAGCCAAGGCTATAAATGTTTTAAGTACCTGACTATAACCTTAGCACTTTCACCAGCTAGCAAACCTCCCTTCTTGAACATGAAGTCTAACACAGGAACACCTCAAAATCCAACTGTTTAAAATACCGAATAGGTTTAAATGCAGATTTTGCACTGAATGCCCAAACGCTTAATCAAGTCTTACATTAGCTACAGCTGCATGAAGTCATGAAAAAATACAGAGCTAGCAAAACAGACGCTAAACACTACCTAGAGGGATAGTCAGGCAGAACGGCCACAGGAAAAGAAACATCAATCTGCATAGTATAGGTCAGAGACCAAGCAGACTCTAAAGCTGCAGTTTGGCAGCTATTTTAAGTAAATCTAGGGTACATACTGGTGATAAGAAGGCAGCTCGCTCTTATTCTCAGACCCTCCCAGCCAAAATGGTGTGTTTTGACATAAGGGATGCTGTGAAAACAAGACTGAAAGTAAAGCTTAGAAAAACCCAGAGAAACTTTTAGCTCCATCTTACTACGGAGCTGCACACATAACAGTGCCAACATAAGGGAAAGGAACAGTCATGCATCATCCTTCCTGGCAGTAGTCTGCACTTGCATCAACTTAAAGCAATCTCAACCCACAGTCTGATTTTTAGATTTTTCAAAAGTCTTGAGTTGCAGCCAGGAAAGGATAAAAAGATTTTAGCAGATGAAAATAAGTATTTTATAAGGAAGTAGTACAAACATAAGTGGGCATAGAGGGTGCACTTAGTATTTGTATACACAGTGTTCCTGATTTACTAAAAGCTTGATTTCTCTATCACCCTCCAGTCTTCTAGAGCCACATAGCTCAGGAAATGCAAGCTGTCTCTCAAAATCTTCTCTCAATACTTTGGTCATTCTGACTTCTTCAGTGCGGTGATCTCTCCGTTTTGGGATTTGTGTTTTTCTTTCCACCCAGAGCAAATAACTTTTAACAGTAAGTCATGCAGCAGCCTTCACTGGGGCCGAATTCCTCCCAAAGACAGCCCCTCAGGCGAGTTCCAGCACCTATTGCTGTGTCAGATTTCACCACGGTGCTTTCTGTGGCAGGCAACTCCAAGTCCAGAAGCCACATGGCTAAACCCATTCACAGACAGGTGCATCTGCACGACTTCTGGTCTGGAGGTACTCATTGCAGCAAAACACCACAGTAGAAGACTTGTAGCAAAAGCCTGCAGCAGTGTTACCTGTTGCCCCCAGGCCCCTCACCCCAGTTAGCTTTTTTGTTGGAAAGAGCACTTAGACTCAAACAACAGGTCATGTTGCAAAGTCTGGGAGTGCTGTGCTCCACTGACAAGCCAAGCAATTCCCAGTTTGGGGCTGCTAAAACTTCACCTGCAGCCAGTAGCTGCAAAAGCATAAAGTCAGGGACTGCCGCAGCATCAGGCAAAGCATTTTGTCCAGAACCTCAAAGCAGGGGGCTTTTGATCTGACTTCATTAATTTATGGCCTACATGAAAAAGTAGCTTTCTTTTTGCTTCTACCAGCCCTCTTTTGGCTCTACTGCAAGAAGAATTAGGTGTCTACAAACACCCCAGCTCAGCTTAGCCAAAACTGGGGCTACTTAGCCTCCCTGAAATGGGAGCATTGTTCATGATTCGCATTGCAACAAGTATAAAAATGTCCTCTCTGGAATAAGGAGACACCTTCATATTCCCCTAATATTGCTCTTCAAACACCAGAACACAATGCTATCTCAAGAAAAACCCAAAGTATTTTCATATCTTCTTTCTTCCTTTTATGGAACTACCTCAGAAAGTCTCCATCAAACCACTTCATCCTTCAGTACTCTGTACAGACTAATACAAACCTATCCATAAGAGTATGCTCAAATACGCTGGTTATAGCAATAATAAGAACATTTCCCATTATATAAAATTGAAAAATATGATCTATTAGACTTGCAAATTCTGTAATAATCCAACTCACAATCTGTAGAAATAAAAGCGCAGCAACCAAACTGATGCATCTGTAGTAGTTTGTTTTGAATAAATACGAAACCCGGGCTTTGAAAAAAATAGATCTTTCAAACCTAGAAAGAAAATATCCTTTCATTCAAGAAGGCACAGTATTTGGCAGTATTTCAAGAACTGTCACCCTTAGTCAAAATGACCTTTTAAATTGTAAAGCTTTAAATTTGCAAAACTGACTAGTGAATCTTACAGTGCTGCATGATTAAAGTAGGTGAAAAGGGTCAGCAAAAAAAAAGTTCACTTTCAAAAAACAGGACTACAGTTCAAAGCTTCTCTTACAGCCGTATATGCTCCTTGTTAGTAAATTTACTAAGACAAGGTAAGTCACAGACTGAGACAGACTATCTGAAAAATTAAGTCTTAAACATGAGCTGTGGTGACAAATGAAGAACTGCTAAAAAAGTTCAAGCTCTTCCAGGAAAATTGAGGACACCAAGAAGCACATATCAAGTAAGTAGAAGGCTACCAAAATTAAGCATTTTTCCCCTGCCGTCTGCATTTATTAGCTGTCAAAATTCAAGAAAATATTGCTATGAGATTTTTGACTTGCATTGAGAGTTAATACAAGCGATTCTTTAGGGTTACTTTAGAAGATAGAGAAATTTTTTAAGCATTCCACTCCAAGGCATGCGGGGACTTCAGCATTAGTCAGTTACAAGATGTGATGGAGAGTCAATGACTGAAGGAGGACAGAAGCTCTGTGGATTCGTTCCTTTATTAAAGCACGATATGGTAAATCAATAAACCCTGTTGCAAGTATGACTGTTAGGGCTATTAATCTCACTAAAACCCATAACCAGTATATCCATGACCAAACATGGAGATTTCTGGGAGGCTCAAGGCTGGATATAGACAGCTGTTACACACACAGAAGTAGGAAGGCTGAAGAGTGCCAAGTATTATGAGAAGTTTTAAGACTTTAGGGAAAACATAGTTGAACTTCTGATACAGCACATTAAAGTAAGCACTGTTCATCTGAAAAAGAAGTCAAGTATTCCAGACCTTACTGATTACTTTACCAGCTAAATATCCCATCAAGCTGAACTTATACCTACAAAGATTAAAAAAAGAAAAAAACATCCCCAAAACCACCCTTTTTACAGTGCATTAGTTTTACAAACAGTGGGTTTGGAAGAATGAAGAATGACACTATCAACACTACTGAAAAGAGTACAAAGCAGCAACAAGTTAACTCAGCAACACTATATACCTCTTAACCAGTCCTTTCAACAGATATATCCTGAGTTAATTCAAAGCTTGGTAGTCAATGCACTTTCAGATTTGTGATGAGAATGAGAAATGCTAGATTTGACTTTTTAAATAAAACTGCCTCCTGCTATGAGACTGTCAAAGTAAGAGACTGTTGTATTTGTCTACGAAATCAGAGCAGCTAACCTGATTTAACCAAAAATATTAATTTCACGTGGATTAAAAGAATCAAAATACATTGTGAAATTTAAAGATAGTACAGGCCCCTTAAAGCTGGGGGTTTTTTTCCTGAAAAAAATTATTTTACTGAAGAGGCTATCTGCAACATTCCTTGGTTGCTAGCACTTTATAGTTTAAAGGCAAAAAGGTTCAAAAAGCACTCACTGATCTGACTTCAGACAGGCCTGTGTGATCTTATACTTAATAGTCAGCCTATCCTATACATCAAGTCCACAACATCTGGATAACAGGAGAAACCACTTCCTATCTCACAGTAAAATAGTGAAATGAGGTTTTAAAAATAGGCAGGTATTCAAACTGTGCAGCTATAAATATCAAACAGCTAGAGAAACATAAAACTGAAGCCAAAACTGTCTTCAAGGAGATGAGTTTCCCAAAGGCACCTCAAGCATAGCAGTCCCTCAGAGATTTCAGTTATACTTTTTTTTTTTTCCCCCTCTCTATTATTCAAGAAAGTTCACCTTTCTGGATGATGCTTACCTTCAAATTTGCCTTCCTGGATGTGAAATGCATATCACACAAAACCAATGTAGACATTTCAGTTATTCAAGCATATAATATTTAAAATCAGTTGAAACACAGGCCAAAAAGGATCACAATTACCTTAGCATGCTTTAATTCCAGTTCTGCTAGTTCCACCAGATTTTTTCTGAATGCTGCAACTCTTCTTGTCTTAAAGTCTATCAGTTCTATAGAAAATAAAAATGGATTCATTAACAGTATTATTGCTAATGCTCTCAACTGTTAACAGACTTTCCCTTCAGGATGGAAGAGGTAAAGGGTGAGAGAAGGCAACAGGAAAAAACTCAAGTTTCATCTCAGCACATTCCGGGCTCAAAGATACTGCTGTGCTGTTGGATGAAAGCAAACGACCATTGCAGTTCCTCATCTCTATCTAACCTTTTGTGGACACAAAGCTCTCTTGAAAAGACTGCAATGTGGACACTTTTAAACATTTAATTCTCTTATTCCACGGGCACCGTTCCTTCCAGGCTGATATATAAAAGTCTCCAGGGAAGATACTAAGCTAAAACTACCATGAAGAACAGAGGAAGCAAGTGTGCTTTATGCATGTACCTTTGTGGCTAATGGGATCACTCATCCTCCACTGTCTCACTTACAGGAATCATTAGCCAGATTTACAGGGTCAAACAACTCTCCTAAATGATAAAAACCGAAGACCACGGTGTTGAAACCTTGAACAAATGTGCCTGTCCCAAATAATGAGTCAGATGACTACTAACTCACAATAATCTTAGCCTAAAGAACAGAGGAAGTTTCCGGGAAAGAGGCAACATGTAAATAAGGTTCCTTTTCTCTAGAGCTACTATAACTATGCAACTTCAGTGAAATCCCATTTCATGATCCCTCCCTTTTCTAATGTAGTATCATCTCTGCAAGAGACTGCTGCCTTCACAGAAGAATGCATAAAACCAAAAGGGGAAATTCACCATGCATTAAAAAATTAGGTTTGCCTTTACTGCTAGCAATTATCATTTTGTATCCTATCCTATTCAGATGAAAAAAAAAAAAGTGGTTAACAAATAATTTGAACCTAGACTTTGCTCTGCCTAAAGAAGCTACGAGGAGCCAAATGAAAATATCGTTTGAACTTTCTAAAATAAATACCGATTAAAAGATAATGGTTCTCTTAGGAATCAGAACAAAAAAATCTGTTCTCATTAACAGTATCCTAAAGCCTGTTAATTTTCAAGTAGTAAATGTAATATCAAAGACCACCCAAATACCTTGTTTTGCTGATTCAGATATTTTCTCAAATTTCTGACAGCATATTTGCTGAGTAGTTTCAGCTTGCAGCACATCTTTATTTTTCGCTCTTGCTTTATCCAATGCCTTATTAGCATTTTCATAATCCACTAATGACCTAGATCTTCTATATAGGAGATCCTATAAAAAAAGTATAAAGGATGTATAGAGTTTACAAGAATCTACCCAAGGATTTTAGTGTATACAAAGTAAAAAAAAATCAGGTTAATTTTAGTCTTTCTTGCTGTATTTCAGTTCTTACTAAATTATTTGCATTCACCTTACTTGATCCTGCAAGACACAGGAATGTCCATACTGGATCAGACATGTAATTTAGTATTGTTTGGTCTGCATCTTGTCTGACAGAGGCTAGCACCAGATGGCCTAGATAATACTCCAAAAAGCCTAAGAATGGGAAATTATGGGAAATTTCACAGCTTCTTAGATTAGAAACAAACTATATTTAGATTATGTTTTTGAAATACACACAGGACCCAAGAAACAGCAGTAACATGTTTTGTGCGACAGTTACTGCTATGATCTTCCAACTACATATATTTTCTGTCAAATGCTTCCTCCTTCTGTCATGTTACTTAATCATCTTACATCAAGCAACACTAAGAATGACATTTTCCGTACATATAGAGTATCAAATTTGGCCCACGTGTTTTTGTATCAGCACCTGCAGAGAATCTGGAGTATCCATTTTCAATATTAACAAAAAAAAATAATAGAATTCCTTGCAGTCTACAAGCAGCAAACACATTGCAAACACATGAACAATTCACCAACAGCTCTTCCACTGTTTTTAATTATCCGCGCAACCTGGCCTTGGTAAGTGGTTCACACAGTTCCAAATACTCAGTCGCAGAGTAAGCAACTCCATTGTTACTCCTGATACACAACTGAGATCCAGGTTCTATAGTTGAGCGAGAAACTGCAGGCTAGAAGTGGTGGCATTTTAACCTAACTGCTGTGTGTTCTCAAGATGATCCCTTATCTTTTTCTCTTTTTTTTAAACACTATTTCACTGAACAAAAAAACGCCAAACCCATAAATTCACCTTAGCAGCTTGAGATTCCCTTAGATAATATTTCAGAAGATCAGAAAGTTTAAGATCTTCATCAGCAGATACCCGGGCCTCTATTTTCTGGAAAAACAGTAAGTAAAAGCATCAATTTAAAAACATCCAGACTTTGGGTATTCACTTTTATAACGTAAATACCCACCATAAAACATACAACACTATATGAGAGATTGTCTTTTTCAAAAACTAAGATTGTGCATTTGTGACAGAATACTTAATGATGCATCATGAAAAACAGTATTAGGATTTTATACTAAAATGTAAGCAATAACTGGTGCAAGCAGTAATTGCAACTCGCTTTCTATTTTAAGCAACGCTTTCTTCCCAATTTCAATTATATGGATCATACACAAGGAAAACAGCAGTGAAACAAAAATTTATCCGGTACAAAGAGTTGCACAAGAAGTTTTGTGTTGCTTTTGAGATGAAAGGAAAACAAATTTTTAAGGCATCTTTGCAGACTAGTTGTGTAACTGCATGTATTAAATGGTCCAAAATACCCGTAAACTTATTTGCTTGTATTTGAAACGGACATTTCTGTGAATTTAGAAACAGAGTCTACCAGTGCAATTTTTAAATCTTAATTAAAAAAAATAAATCTAAAAGGCAACATTTTAGGTCAAAGCAAGTAATTCTGTTAACTTCATTTTCTTTAAAGTACTATTTATGCAGATACAACTGTCTGTGTTTCAGAAATGCACACATTTTTCATTGAAAAGTTTTCCTGATACATAGCACGCATCTTCTGCTCTACCAAGCCAAACAAATAAGGCAGAAGATAAAATCTGGTTAGGAGCATCAGCAATACTATTTCTCAGTCAAATAATTGCAGAAACAGATCTTGGCTCCAGGAAAAAGCAGCATGACTGCCATTTTTTTGATTAAGAATTACATTTCTTTTTTCTGTAACAGGTTCTGTGATACCCAGTAACAAGTATGGAAGGCCTTGAAGCCTTTTAGAGGAACAGCAGCTTAACTAGCATGTTACATACTGCCTAGAAATGTTTAGTAGACTGAAGACTCCTAAGGATCAATCATTTTACAAAACAGATGACTGAAATCTCATACTTTTTCATTCCCTACCACGCATTGCTTAAATGCTTCATATAGAAGCATCCATAAAACATCCACACATTAATGTCTAATTGACACAAGATGTCCTGCCACCTCCAGGATGTACACAAAGAATACATCTAAAAAGGTTTCATAGTACATACCCTTGTTTTGTCAAATAACTCTGATACCTTCAGAAAAAACCTGCACAAAGGAAAGAGCTTATATTACAACATTAATTTGAACAGTATAATTACTTTCTAGAAATCAAAATATAATCTGTGTTAGGCAATAAAGGCTGCAAATAAAGCCCTGCAAAGGCACTGCTTAGAATTATAATTCACAGAACTCAGAGAACATAATAGTTTCAAATTGCAGTACTTCAAACATCTGGGAATTGTACTACTTAAGAAAAGGTAAGGGACAAACAAAGCATAACGGATGGATGTTTTTTACTAAAGAATAATTGCACAGCTCCTCAGGGATTCTTTATGTTTCTGTGAATTAAACCCCAAACACCACCATGTTGGTTGATGGTCCTACACTATTATCAAGCGTCCTTCGCTCAAATTTGAATGTACTTTTCTTTACACAGTAAACATGACCCATGCCCTACTTTGAATTCAGGGAGGCTGAGCAATAATATGGCACATCTTCCTCACAGGAGACAATACGAGGAGAGTTCAGTATAACAGCAGACTGAATTACAGCCAAATCATACGATTTTGACAGAAAGCCGGTGCCATTTCTCACAGATCCTAAAAGACTATATCAAATCTCAATACTATAATCAAAGTAATCGACATGTAAGCTATCACCACATTTGGAAGTATATCACTGTAATTCAGGTGAACTAATAAAAATAAGTTAACTGTCATACTCATCTGTCGTCACACTAACTCTAATGTGTACATGTTCACAAGCATCAACATCTTTAAGCTACTTAACTAAGTTTCACTTTCAGATACACCAAACTTCATATTCAAGCTAAAGGACAAACATCCGTACATGGAGACTGTGTTCTATATTCAAAGTTTTAGGGATCTCTGTAAATTCCTTTCTTTTCCTAAAAACTGTCAGAACAGCAAAACTATTTTTCAGTATGTTGGTACAGGGAACGCCCACAAAAATCAGTATGCTCAGACTGAGACCTGTTCTTGCTGCACATGTCAAAGCATGTAAAGCACTTAAAAAAAAAAAAAGTGAAAGAGATGGGTTCTTTTTCTTATTTTAGGAGAAATTTTCCATCTCATCTGTGTAATTTTCTACAAACTGCAGAAAACAGCAATTTTTTTCCAGACAAATATTAAAGCAAAAATATTAAAGCAGCCTGTTACTGCTTTAATACTATTTTTAATACTGAAATACTAGAGAATAAAATCTCTTAATGTGATACAACAGTAATAAATTCTGTTTTTCTTATAACAAGAGAGTGACCTGCTACCTCAGCAGGTCACCATTGAGACTGCTGCTTAGCAAATTCCCCCATAAGTTATTAACAATATCTTACTTGCATATATCTGTGGAGTCCTGCGTTCCTAATGCATATAATGAAGAACCAATTCTATTATAGTCATCTGCCACATCTAGAAAAAAAACAAGCACTGGTTTTACTATTTCATTCCACTTCTTTCTGAAAATTTTGAAGTTCCTCTTTTTCTTCCAGAGTGGATGTTTTTCAAAAGGAACACGCTTTAACACAAAAGCAGAAATAAAATTTCAACCATGTCACTTTTTATGAAGGATAACTTCACACAACAAACACGGTGCTCTCGCCAAATCGTGAAGTCTGTAATTTGTCTAGGGATATTTAATACAATCAGCACCTACTGGGTAAATTTATTGTGCAACTCTGTTAGGTTTTATTTTGGTGGAAGATGTACAAACTCAATGGCTGAAGTCTGACTTTAAATCTGAAACTAAAGTATAAAGCTATTTGAAAAAAAAAATCACAGTCAAACAATAATGAAGATTAAGGCTGTGTATTTGAGAGAAGTAAATTGAATACAAACTCCAAACTACAGTGCTGTATGCACAACACCTTTTCTAGCACACGCCTAATTTTCAGGAAACCCTTACCGCATCAACAAGTGGCCACTGTTTGAAGTAGCATTAGTGTTAAAGCATTTTAAACAATGCAATTAGAAGCAGGGTTTGTAAAGAAGGCTGCATAATTTGACTAGTGAGGTATTGCTATATAGTAATCATAACAATCAAATCTTTGCACAGATGGCTTTTTTAAAGAGCTTTTAGTATAAACTCAACAGATGATGAAAGCTTTAATAGATCCAAGCAATGAACAGGAAAAGATGTATACTTGTTATTTTTGAAGTTTATATGCCTTTAAGCAGAATTATCTTTTTTTTTAAATAACACAACCTTGTTTTAACAGTTTGAGTGGGTCACCTTCCACCCAATTCATTACTCCATACAACCGAAGGGAAACACTGAATAGATTTTTGGCTGGAAGTAGGAAGTCAGTATCTTTGCAAGCCCTGCAGTTCTCTGTTGATTATAAGTTATCCATAAACTGCAGATTGCCAGTTTCCAAAATGGGTTTCCCAGATCATTGCTCTACTCCTCTAGGCAGAATTTCACAAGGTGCCATTTGTCCCAATTAGCAGTTTGATAAAAGTTGTCAATAAACATCTTACGTGATTTGAGTCTGAAAACCAGAGAAGCTTTGTCACGAGTTTGTTCAATCCTTTCCCATCAGATCTTCTACAATCTCATTTCTAACATTTTTCCTGGTTCTACAACCAACACAAAAGGCTTGCTCACAACCTAAAGTTTGGCACCTAAGTACCATGAATTAAGTTCAATTTTCATTGTAAGAAAGCAAACAAAACACCAGAAACCACATCAGATGAGAACTGAATGAAGACACAGGGTCCCTTAGTACTTCATTAAGCCATAACTGCCTCTCCCCATCTCCTAGCATAGATATTAAAGCTACAAAATACTCAGTCTTCATACAATGGGAGAAGAAGCATCTGAAGAGCTTAGTAAATTCTTGGTTTAATGTCTTATTCAATATCTGTGGGAGCGTATTTAAGAGACAATGGACACATATTGAACCAGCCATGCGAGGAAGCAGACTGGCTGTAGGACCTCGCCTTTGAAGTCAATTTGAGGAGGGAAAACAGGAGCAACAGTGACTGTTTCACAGGAATTGAGAAAAACAAGCCTGGAGGAGTGGGCCGAGCAAGTGGGAAAACAGAGATTAGATGAACCAATCAGGAAAGAAGCTGAGCCGCAAGCTTGCCTCGTGCATAGGACCAATCAACTAATGCATGAGCGCACGTAGGGATAGATAAATTGTATATAAGGGACAGCAGAATGTCAATAAAGTGGCTTCTGTATGATTCACATTGGATCGTGTAATATCTACTTTAGAGTCCTTACCAATCAAGATTCATAAAAGGTTTGTGGCCTGGTTTTGTGTGAACTATATTACTGTAGATAGCAAAGACAAAATCTGTGAATCAGACACAAACTTCAAGAAAGTAGATGGAATCTAGTAGTTCAATTTTGATTTATCCGGGCACAAAAATATAAAATCAAGGGTAATAAAGATAAACTTTTTTCTGAGCTTCTAAAAATACAGTAATCCTAAACGAAACATAGTAGTCCTAAACCAAAGATTTTCTATTTTCTCAAATAAATGCATTGCACTTGAGAAGACTATCTAGAGCTTCCAGAAATCATGTTAGCTAGCACTCAGCTCAGGAAGAGAAATCAATAGCTAAGTGGAAAATCTCACCTCAGTAAAAAAAGGGGTCAGGCAAACCAAGCTACTGAATATACACGTTCCATTCTCCATTCTAAAAGGCTAAAAAATGGAAACCTGACTTCCTAGACTAGAACTAATGGCCCAAACAGGAATTCGCAGCTCAGCAAGGTAATGTAATGCCTAGTGTGCCAAGAAATTGCACTCTAATGAATGCAAGCTCACCAAATCCAGAGCAACTTCATTAGGAGTAAAATCACATGTACTGCTATATTACCCACCTTTACACTCTAAAGACTAACACTCCAACTTAAAAAAAATATTATTACATAAAGTGTGTTTCTCTTCAAAGGGACAGCATGAAGAATCAGGATATCTTCAGCGTCGCTTCAGGCTGTTCTTACTCCATCTAGTCTATTACAGCAGAGGCTGAACTTTGAAAGTCAGACTGAACTTCTTTACACTATCCAAAGACTACACTTGGACAAGTTAAGTTAACTTCTCACGTGCAAAAAGAAAACTAAAAATTACTGCTCCCCACAAATCACTTCTATATACTTCAACTAGTACTATTTTCATCCTGGAAAAAGAACTCACTTTTATGTGATCTTGTCATTTTATCAGATTTGGCAGAGGCATCTTTGACTCGGTTGTGATATTCTACAAGGAATGTTCTTTCATGTTCAAAGAAGTCATCCACATCCTAGAAAAAACAAGAACAATTTAAAAAACCCCAGAATTTCACTCACTCTGTACAGAGCAACTGCAGAGTACATTTGCATATACTGTTGTTACTGTGAGATGAAATTTTTGTTGTCTAAAACACCATTTATGTAAACTGATTTCTTCTTCGTTTATTTTATCGTGATCTGAAGTTTTATTAACGAGCATCTTAAAGCTCTAGATAACTAAACCTGAAGCGAAGGAAATAATTTCACTACTAACTACCACTTTGATGACAGAAAAATAGAATAAATGGAACTTAATAAAAGGGCATCTACCTAGAAAAAGGGGAAGGGGGACGAAAGACACCCAGTAGCACAGATGCTGCAGTCATAGCAGAGACAATACAACCTTCTAGCTCAGGAATGCTGATCTTGATGACAGGTTTCTTTCAAGTTGGTAAATGCAAGTAAACTTTAATATTTTCTGTATTACAATTTTATAATTTGGTTTATATTTATTCAAAAACTCCTCTAAAATAGCACAGATGCTCAATACCACAGAATAGCTTATAACAGGGGCTTTGAACAATGTGTTTTCATTATTAAAACTGCTGGTTATTTGGACTTCATATTTTTCTCCAAGTCATAATTAATGCATGGTTATATCCACTTCCGAGCAGTTTCAAAACTCAAGATTTTACAACTAGGAACTTTAGCTCTTCTAATTTGTTTGCAAATGGGAAGTTACCACTTAGAAGGGAAGGAAATCAAAGTCATCTTCTGCAGAATTTACGATTGTTATAAAACCAATCTTTCAACTTTTGGAAAAGTTGAAATTAAATTGAATTTTCGTTAATTTGTGTGTGTGTGTCTCAGTTACATTCTTGCATCTACTGGGAAACACAGTATCACCTCTACTGCTGCTCTTAGCTTTGAAACAGAAGAAGGATTTTACAAGGCTGGTAAAATTCACAGTCTTAGTAACTTCTGAGCTGCAGCAGTTGCCAAAGCTAGTGCACCTTCCCACTATATAAAATGACAGGACAGAACAAAAGACAGATTATCAATTATCTATGGATTGAAATAATGCTTAATTTCATAAAACAGGGGAAAAGAGTACTGAAAGCCTTCTTTCACGGAAGCAATCAGATAGCTCTCAGTTATCTTGCATTCAGGGCCACAGGTTCCTTCCCATGCTCTTCCTCATTCTTAACTCAGAACGCTACAAAAATGCCATTTTTGTAGCTATGTAAAATTCTGCTTCATTAAAAATAGGGGACAACAATGTTAATACATTTTAAATCTTGAGATGTTAAGCAGTAGTCACCTTTACTCCTGAAACAATGACACCATCTGCTGATTTAACCATATTTTTAAAGAAGTCTTCAAGTTTCTCTTTCTTATTTTTCCCACGAACACTCAACTGAAAAACAAATTCATTTATCAAGTTAGTTCATTTTCTGGAGGCAATAAAAGCTTTAAGAAAAAAACCAACCACAACACAATAGAGCTACATACCACAACTTGCTACCAGTTTTCCTGTTCTCTGCTTAGTCTTATACTCTGCATTAATGGGTACAGGCCACCATGCACCCAGCATGACAGACTACCTCATTTACTAGACTGTTCTTTATCACCTAAAATACTATTCCAGGGGAGAAAAAGGAAAAACAGCAACATTCTAGCACCTGCAGATAATACCAAATGTACAAGGTTTACATTTCAGTTATCAATAATACAGTATTTATCATGCACAGTATAGCTATTGAGTTAACCTAATATAACCAGGTTTTGTTCTTTTAAGTGTAGAATGGCAGATCTTTGACTTTCAGAAACTACAGAAGCATTTACCCCTCACTGCACTGAGGATAATGTTGGTTTCAGCCTCCTCACACTCTTCCTGTCCATCTAAATTTGCCCAGTTTAGGTAAACTGAGTTCCTGAACCAGTAAGCATTTCTACCTCAAGCAACATGAGGATCCTCTGTAAACATATTTTGAAGTTAAGCATGTACTCAATTGAGCCAATCTTTGCAATGATTTCTTCAACATTCAATGCCGATTTCTGCAATTTTAAAAAGCAACTAAAAACTGTTTGCAGAATATGAGCAACCACCAAATCCAACATCAAAGAATTATTACGAATCCAGAAAGTCCTCTCCAATAACTCAAAGTAAGATTGTAACTCAGTATGTAACATGTGGATAGCCACACTTGTCCAATACCTAGAAAAAAAATTAACCAATTTTTCACCTACATTATTAACAAAAGGGCTTTACTTATCAGAACATTTCATTAGAAATCCTTTCTAGTTTTGTTAGCAACAGAATTTAAACCATGGTTCAAAATCCTGGAAATTAGCATTCCATCTTTGTTGTATCATTCCCCCCCCCCCCCCCCAAAAAAAAAAAAATTGAGTCAAAGAGTGGACAAGTATAACATCATGGGAAATCACCACCAAAAGTTAATCTTTTTAATCCAAAACATACTGGATTCTCATTAATATTTTGATGCTGAGACTAGAGCACAGAGTGCATTTCGTTCCCCAGGTGGCAGCAAAATGAACTCCTACAGACTAAATGAATTTCTAACTTTTACAATACAAATATGTCTGGTATGAAGGAATTGATGCAATTTGCTCCAGGAGGTAAAGCCCTCTTAATCAATTTTCCATCCTACCATAAAAGTACATCTTGATTTCTCTTGCCAGCAATTCAGTTTTCAATACTCACATCCTGATTATATTCCAAGAATACATGGAAATTTAAATCCTTTCTCAAAATAGGATGCGCTGCCACGCGACACAAAAACACTTCATGCATTGCAACTGTCTTCTTGAATATTGCCAAATATTCACTGAAAACAAGAAACAAGACATACATAATAATTTCACATAAAGCAATTAAGTTTGAGATAAGCCTAGTGAGCAGCTTTAAGAGATCCTTAGTAAGGATACAAAATTATAAGCTGATATAGTAGGGGTTATCACTCTTATATTTGATACATAGAAAAATAAATAGTACAACGTTACTACTACGGGGAAATTTGAAGCGCTAACATATTACGGAGAGACTTTTAATGAAGATTCAACAAATACATTCTATTTTTTAAGGCTAGCTAACACAGACTGGTTTGCTGAAAGTGTAACCTCATTTTATTGTCCTTTCCCCAACTCCCCAAAAATCAAGAAATTGAGATGCAGATTACAGTCACTAGACACTATATAGCCAATGTGCAAATTCCTTCCTCCCCATCTCCATCCCCTTGCCTATTTGCACCCTCCTTACTTATTTAAATGTTCATGTAGTTTTGTTAGCTGTTTAGATAGCAGTCTTTTATCCATGTTAAAGCACCTAGCCTTTTTGGGCTGTCTTGCTTCATAGTGGTTCTCAAAGTGAAATTCAGTGCTGCGTTTGGTAGGTACAACCAAAAAAAATAGCTGCCCAGTTCAGCCAACTCAACTTTAAAGCAATTACTCATTTGTGATTTAATTAAGAGGAAGGCACTCTTATCAATACAAGTTTGCTAGAATTCATTTTGCCTTGCAAATTCAATGAATAAGATGTAACTTGTCTAGAAATGAGGAAGGGTCTCTTTTCCCCATTCTGAGGTCAAACAGTGAAATGATAATCAACACTTTTGCTTCCACTATGTGCAAGGAGGTTAAGATTTACATACCAGCAAACCAGCAGAGCCAGTGTTGGGAGATGTTTGATCTCAGTGAGAGTAGTAGTCATTCAGTGAAGACAAAAAAGGAGGATGCAGAGGATGGAGGTGGCAGTAGAAGAAACCCAAAGTTTTCTGTGTTATCCAACCCCTAACCAGACCACAAGAGAATCATGATCAGGGCCGCTGGAAAACCACAGATTCTTTAAAATCTATAGTGTTTTGCTAAATTTCCAGTTTTCTGCATATGAAGTGTATATCTACTCTGCTATAAATTACATTGTACGTAACACTAATACAGAGCTTTTTAAGACATTTGCTCACAGCAGCTGGAGTTCGGAGGGAAAACGGCAGTTCTAAGAGTTCTATGTACTTTTCTTGCCAATTCAGAGCTCTTGATAGAAGCAGTCTAGAAGCAGCGTAAATATACACTTGAAAACTGAAACCAATGACAGGAAAAAGATCAAAGAAGTGAATGCATGATAAGGAAAGTGGATGAAGCAAGGAGAAACTTCACTGTGTAACTCAATATGGAACAAAAAGCCTTAGAGCAGATATTTCAATACACATTAAATTCACAGTAAGGGAAAATACTATTTTCAGGAAGTTTATTCTCCTTGTGCAAAAACAAGGGAGTGTCAAAAAAAGTATTTTCTAGTGATCTCCATATTTCTTGGGGAACAGAAGGTTGGCATCTGTGTTTCCAGTAACAACCACATGCAAAAATCCCTAGTTCAATCACTACATGTATAAAACTTAAAGTTTCATTACGCTTACAAAACGTAGAACACCAGAACTAAAAAAGATAGAGGTTACCTCCTCCCTTTGCATTTGTTCTGTGCTTTTTTCCTTATAAAAGAATGCTCAAGAACAAGTTGATTTTTTTTCCTGTTTCAGAATATCTTCTGTGAAATTATTTCTACAATTTTCCTAATGGCCCTGATCATGATCACTGAGATAACCCTGGTTATGGAGCAACTGGATTCTCAAGCCTGTATCTCACAAAGAACCATTACAGTGAAATCAGAAACAGCAAACAGCATTAAAAGTTGAGGGACTAAAAAAAAAAAAGAAAAAAAAAAGGTAGTAATCAAGTCTACATACGCCTCCAGTTCTTGTTTCATCTTGGTGAATTCTTCTTTAGTCATTGATCCTTCCCCTTCTCCAAGTTTCTGCAATTTCTCCCTTGAGGCATCAAAGTCAGGCCTGGGTGGTGCTGGTGGAATCTGGAATTGAATCAATTTTTTTTTTAACCACTTATCTTCTCAGTTAAAAAACATCCATTCAGTACAGGAACTGTAAATTGCCTGCAGCTTTTTAATATATGCCTCTCTCTTTCATCATTCATTACAGCATTTACGGATAAATTCTCTCATTCATGAGTTAGACTTGCTGCATTACTCTACCAATTTTGCCCAAGTGTCCTTGACGATTACTAAAGAATTAATGGCTTCAGTAGTTTAATTACAACAGAAACCAAATAATACCTAGCTTTCCCACTATAATGAATTAAAACTTGAAATCCTTTATTCTATAATTAGTTTTGTTTTAGCTTATTTGGTAAAGATTTTCTCTTGTTTAAAGAAAAAAAATATTCCACAATTGTTTTCACACCATCCATTTATAACTCCCCAAAACTTTAAACCAAAAAAAATAAATAAATTCCATATTGCTTGCGGGCATTAGTTCTTTCTTGCAACACTGTTGACATTAAAGATACATCTGTTGAAATAACAAAGCATGCAGTAAACAAGTCTCTAGGTTAATCCTGTATATAATATACTAAAATTGAAAGAGAAAACACCACAGTCAAACTAATCCTGAACTCCTATCAGCAAAGGGACACAGAACAAAGTTAAACTATGCTTAAATTTTAGTTGACTGATATTTGCCCATTACATTAATGCATTACAAGAAAAAAAAATCCAGCACCTACACGCTCAACTGTCTGAAAGTAGTTATTACCACACTGAAGGTCTAGTCACTTCAAATAGCTTTTCTGACTTAAAAAAAAGACTAGCTCAAGAATGGTATGACACATCACAGATTATACTCATCATAATGTACCCACTATTAGAAATAGATGTTTATCTTCTGAATCAGTAGACAGACCCCCAAACAGAAAACGAATACCTAACTTTCACACCAAGATGACACATATTTCTATTTGTAATTGAACTATGAAAAGCAACGCCCATATTTAATAGGCCGTATCATAATGTGACTGTTTTGGGACCTCTGTTCCTCAGAGGCCTGAAATAAACTTCAAAACTTAAGTTCTTAAGTTGTGTATTAAGGTTCCCTGTAGTTCTAGATGGTGTTTACATTGTTTTTTTCCCCTCCAACTGATTTATGGTAAAATGATTCTGAACTTTGTGATAAAACCTGGAAAAGTCTAATTACTAGAGCTCAGTTACTGCACTCTGCCATTCCAGCTAAAACAAAGGCAACATGAAACTTATAACTAAGTTAAACATTAGCTTGCAAAAACAATACTAGCAAGTTATACAGTTCACCTATCTCCCACACTTCTAACGCAGTAGACTAAAAATACACTCGGGTACAGATTAAACTACTCACTCTTTAGGAGTGAAAGGCAAGAAAGTATGACAACTACAGTAAGTTGCCTCCAAGCTTGCTTCAACTATTAATTTTGTGTAATTGCATAAAATGAAGTATTAGAACATCTGATCTGATTTTAGAAGGAATGAACATCTGCCGTTTCCATTTAAAAGCAGTCATAAGCACTTTTGACACAGTTCACATAAACCAAAAGAACTGTAATACTTACGATATAACCAGCATAGTCCTCATTCTCAACAAAAGAATCATGAAGCCAAATAAACTCTTCATGTTGCCGGACAACAGAAAATTCATTTTGTTTGAAATTTGGTAAGGAACTCTAGAAGGGGAAAAGGAGGCAGAATTATGGAAAAAAAAACAACCAAACCGAACAAAAAAAACACACACACACACAAAAAAACCCCACCAAAACGAAAACCCACAATGCTTTTCATTACTATACGAAAAACACCTTGAAGGAACAACAAAAATATCCCTGTAAAAATAATCCAATCATCCAAGTAAGGATTGACCAAAAAAGTTTGTACAGCATTAATTATCGCCATCTTAATTAGTGTAGCAATCAATTAGAATGGGTTGCCCAAAGAGGTTGTGGAGACTCCACCCTTGGAGATATTCAAAACCCAAACAGACAAGTCCTGAGAAATGGGTTCTGGTTCACCCTGATTTCATGGTGGGAGTAAGGGAGGAGAAGGGACTAAATCATCTCCAGAAATTTTATTCAACCTCAACTATTCTACGATTCTGCAATCAACAAACATTCAAATCTTAAAAAAAAAAAAAGAAAAGAAAAGAAAAGCCATAAACAAGCAGTAACTGAAAATTATTCTTGAATATAATTCCATTATGAAATATATTTTTAGAATCTGAAACCACAGCTAATCTAATAAAAAACTGAAGAATACTGAGGTATACTAAAGATTCTACCTGGAAATAGGCCAATTAATAAGCATGGGAATGGCATGACAACACATCAGTAAAAAACCCCTAAATATCTCTTTTTTCTAAAAAGTTTTTTAACCTCTTAACTTTTTAGCCATCTTTTTGTTAAGCACTGCAGCTACACAGTCTCTTAAACATGAGACAATGCTATAATCTCAGTTCCTTTGGATTGTGCTACACTTGTTTCAATAAACAGTTTAAGCAAACTTTCTTTTCTATATAATTAAGAAAATGTTCAGTGTACAAACCCAGGCTTTTACCTTTGTATGGACAGTGAATTTCACTTTGTCCCTTTCACTGAGTGCATCTGAGATATCCACTTGCAGAGCAGCATCAGTCTGGAGATCTACATTTATTGCTCTAAGCTAAACAAAGAAAAATCTATTTAGCTTAAATGAAAAAAAAAAAAAAGTGAATTATATTTCACTTATTCTTCCCTTGAGAAGAACCCTGATCCTGAATGTTGCACATCCTTAAAAGACTGAAGATAGATTACAAGAAACCACCAACATTAAAAGATTACTTACAGCAGAAAAAGAAATTTCAGTAGTACTCCTTATGGCACACCTGACCATACAAATAGTTTCCTTTACCATACTCCTTGTTAGTGTGCTATTATAATTTCTGTATATTGTTAACTTGCTAATAATTGAGATGTTCAAGACAAAGTACATTTACAGACAGCAGCAAGTTCAGTAGGTTTTTCTCTTCCTTTTTCTGTTCATTCCCCTGACTCCCCCAAATCGACAACGTGATGTAAGTAAATGTACTTGTAAAGGTAATTATAAAGGTACTAACGGTTGGAAAGGTACATCTAAGGAGAAAAGTGATCCTATATTTCAAAGGAGCAAGAGTTATTAAAGATCTGGGTTACTCACATTGTTTTACACTATTCTTTTGTTTAACATTTCCCACAATATCCTGAAAAAGCTTAAAAAATAATATCCTGAACTTCACAGATCTAAGTCTCCTTGGAAATATTTTTCTGAAAAGAAAGAGGGGGGGGGAAAAAAGCCAACCCCAAAAAAACAAACCAAGCTTTCAATCTCTTCAAAATCAGCATAAGAAATGGTAAAAGTGCAAGGAATACGCATATTTTTTTCCACAGACATGAAACCTGAACTAATAATTCCAAAGTCACAACAAAAATAAAATGAGACAATGATCAAATATGAAAAAAATTGGAAGATTCTCTGAGCACTGCAACATTTGGCAGTAACTGGATCAAAGGCTTCAACGGTACTTGATGAAACTAGAACCTCATATTAGACCCCAAATGGAAATTCAAGTCCCCTCACCCTCGCACCCTTCTTGTTCTAGAGCAATTTGTCCCATGACAATCTTACCACCATGATCAAGAGATATTCGGAATATTTTGACAAGTGCTACAGCTAACTCTGAAATCTTCCCCAATCACATTGTCAAAAAATATTTCAATGTCATGCTCATGAGGCTTACTTTTTACTGAGACACAGTGTTTTCTTTGATGCTGCATTTTTTCTAGAAATATCACATTCAACATTACAAAAATGCTTTGCCATACCAATATACAGATTTTTTCTCCGCAAAATTTTTCAGGACTCCATTTTGGAGTCCCTACTCAAGTACAAAAATGCTTTAAGTATCAGCAACACACAGTACAAAGGTTACACATGAGCAGATTTTGAAGGTAATGCTGAAAGGCACTGGAACAGCACTAGGAGAGAAGCATCAACCGCCACATCTTGTTTTCCACCAGCTATCTTAATCCTTATCTTAAATCACAGCAGTCAGCTCCCACTCTAGTTTTCTTGCTACCCTCAATACACAGACAACTCCGCTGCTGCTTATATAGCAGCGGCCAGACTAACACATCTTAGAATTAGCATATTAAAGTAAACCAAAATCATACAGTCTAGCATATTCTGCTAGGCTAGCAAAACGTAACAGTTCAATAGCTATTACACAAATAGCAATAGCTTTTCCTTACAGCAAACTTGGAAATCGTTAATACCACTGCACAGAAACATATTCACGCATCAGGCATCGCTTTTTGTTTTGTTTTCCCAAGGTTTAGGGGGTCACTGCCTCACACAAAGGCACATTATCATGCAACGATCCATTGCAGATCACTTCTCAGAGGCAGAATCTCCTAGCTCCTACTGAGTTCCCAATGTGCTTAACATCTAATTTAGGAAACAAAAATATAATCTGACATACCAATGTCTGCCTTACGTCATGACACCACATTTTTCAGCTTGTAAAAAGTTCTTAGTGGTTACACTGTCTGGGGTACTGTTTGTTTTTCTCTGGTCCCCCAGAACACATTAACAAACACAGAGTAATCTCAACAAATAATATGGATTATCCAAATGGTATTTTTGTAGTCTTTCATGGGTCACAAAAATTTCTACTAAAATGCTTTTCCCTTTTTTTTTTTTTTAAAAAAAAGTGGTACAATACAAAATTCTAAGATTCAGTATAACAGCTGTTCAAATTTGTCACTAGTTAGCGTGTATGCAGTCGCTAGTGCAGCGCACCCTGGCCTTATGCACTACTCACAACTTTAGAAACAAAATGCTTAGCTGTGCTGAGAAAACTAAGAACTACCTAAACATGACAACTTCACTCACAACATACAACTAACTGCAAAGGACTATTTGTTTGATTTATACTGAGTTAAGTTTGTAACAGTTTTGAAGAGTTTAATCATATGTTAAATTATGCTGTGTAACCTGACTGCCAACAGGGAACATTTTAATCTGCAATGGTAATGAAGCATTTATGAAAGGTGTCAAAGACAATCAGAAAGTTGAAGGGCTTTAAATGTATTCATGTGACACAATGGTTCATATTGCATTACTGGGAATTAAATTCACAAACAATATCATCACACAACTTAAGCAATCTCTTCATCACTACTTCCAAAACAAAATCGCCACCAAAGGATGGTTTTCTAGAGATGAAGGGAGGAGAAAACGAAAAAAATTAAAATGCTACAAAACCTGATGTGGATGAGAAGTCTTATTTGGATGAGAACAGAAATGAAAGCAACTTAAATTCTGGAAAAAATTGAGGTAGGATACAGTCCCTTTGTATCTTGCCCCCCTTCCCCACAATCTAATATGTACAATATAGCACAGTAATTTTATGCTTAGATACGCGCTCTACACCCATGCTGAACAACTTGCAGAACAAAAGCTAACTTAATTTAGCTGCTCTACAGTTTCCTATGCTATACCAAGAAAGCCCATTTTATTCAAAGGGTCTAGAAAACACCAGAAGCCAAAACAAGAGCTAAGCAATGTTACAGTACTAAACAAGAACACAATGCAAGAAGAGGATTTAGTAGCTAAGCCCTTGCTTAAGGATCAATTATACTTCAAATGATAATGGGAGGAAGCCGGTAGAGACAAAGGAAACAAGCAAACCTTACATTCCTAGGTAATGTCATCCTTTAACAACAGTAACTTCTATACTCTAAGCTCTTTCAAAAATGTTAAAGAAAAGGGACCCTTTTTTTCCAGCAGGTTCTTTACAGGCAGATAAATACACAGAGCACGAGAAACAAACAATACTTTTACAACAACAGACTACAAAGTGTCATCAGGGCATTAAGTTTCAAGCAGACCTGTTCTAAGGGATAGCTCATTTCCCCTAAATGAGTAGACAAGAGCGTTGGCCAAGTCGGCTAATGTTTATACAGATATAAAATACACAAGACAGTACTAGTATACCACCTTTCAAAGCACGTATTGTTTACGTTGGAGAGATCACACAAAAAGCCCAACAGGAACTGAGTTACTCCAAGAGAACTCAATAGTATCTTCCTAAGTGAGATTTAGAAAAGCAATTGCCGCAAGTTCATTTTATGCAGACCACTTATAATAAGTTCCTTCTACAGACCACCCACTGCTACTTCCTCAAAGATGATTCTCAGCGCTCTGTTTTACAATTCTCCGGAAAAGGCTCCATATGGTATAACACAATTGTTTGAGAATTACTGTTTTATGTGGCATCAGCATAACTTCCAGCCCTCTTTTCATCCCATCACCCTCACGTTAAACTTAACACAACTGTAGCTGACCAACCTGATTCCGAAGAGTTAAAAGTACAGTTGTCATAGTGATATCTGAAATCTAGAGAGGAAAGAGTACTGATTTTCAAAACTCAAAGCTCAATTACTCTAACCAGAAGCTGTCATCCATGCTTTCAAATAGAGGCTTGACCTACTCGTTTCTTAATCGCAAACAGAGGAAGGTGACAAATCAGAAACAGGGAAACACTTTATGAAAAGCTGTTTATTTTTACTACTGCTAAAAAGACAAAAAAATAAGTTATGGTTTTGAAGACTAAAGCACAGCAAATCCATTCATGAACAGACTGCCAGTATTGCTGTTGATTAGACTTTCTGTGTCCCAATCAAAATCATGCAGGTAACAACCTGCATTTTAACCCCAGGGATTTACACAGCAGAAAAAAAATTAAAACCCCAGAGCGACTGAAAATAAGAAACCTAAAAAAATTAGGCAAAGGAGAAGGACACTGTTTTGGTTTAATTCTGCAGTTCTGGATGAAGATGGGGGAGGGGAAAAAAAAAAAAAAAAAAAAAGAGGACTGAATTTGGCCAACTGAGATGATGTAAGTTGTCCAACAGCACAAACAAGACTGTTAAGAGATTTCTTAAGGCTTTCAAATTACCTTGTGAACTCTGACTACCTGTAGCCTCAGAGGGAAAACTAATAACCAAACAAACAAGTTTCACACGGGATCAGATCTGCATTGTTATGTTCTACCTGCACCTTCAGATAAAGGCAACTTAACTGTGCACTTCAATGCCTGTTCCTAAATACCAGGGACAACCTATGTAAAATATAACTCCATAATTAACAAGTTCTTCCATCCTTGTTCTGAAGACACTCAAAGAACAATTTCCACCTTCTCTCTTTTTTATCCAGTATTCTTACTAAAGTAGCTGTGTAATTAAAGGCAGAAGCTCTACAGTGGGCTGAATTGGCCTAATACAATACTAGAATTCCTTTTTTAATTTCTGGTCATACACCAGAACATAAAATGTACTGAATTCCTACCACGTGCATACAGTCAAAAATCACTTAGCACTTAACTTTATATTTGACACTTGAGTGCAGGATAAAAGAGTATACCAACACAGTGTTTTTCAGATTTTGTATTTTTAGTAATATACCGGATGTAGCCACTTTAATAGGAAGCAATGGCCAGGGCAACCTAAGCAACCCAGAAGCTGCTCTCCTACCTCACTCAGAGTTTGCCTTTCTCAAGACACTAACCGATAGGGGTAATCGGTCTGAATGAGTTATGCTAGATTAGCTGATTTGTTGCTTAAGTAAGGCAGGCAAGGTAAAGAAAGATGGATGCAGCAGTCAGAAGAGAAACGAAGGCCAGAAACAGCAGGGCAGAGAAAAAGGTCTTCTCAGTAAGAAACATAATCATGGCATCCTGTCCCAACAACAGAACTTCTTTTCAATACAGAGTTTATTATGCAGCGTGCGCCTGCAATGTCAACGTCCCACTGTCATCTCCAGGAGAACCTCTGGGGCCCAGAGGGAGAGGAGAGGGCAGGACTACTTCACCCAGGGCCTGGCTCGCGGTTAAAGATGGAACCCGGTGCTCTCCACAGGGCTGGTCAACCCGGTCAGGACCACAGCACGGTCTGGGTGTGTCGAGGGGACACGGGGGGCACGCATCAGAGCCGGGAAGGACACAGAGAGAGAAGAGGCACCTCCAGCAGCATACACGAGCCCCTCTCGAGCTATTTAGTCCAAGGAAAGCCCTGAAGAACTGCCCTTCCACAACTTGGGTGACAGAACAATGAAAAAATCAAGGCAAAACACAGGGGGCAGGCAGGGACCAGTTTCTTTCCACACCAGCAGACCCCCGGCAGACAAACACCCGGGACCCTCACTGCCTGCCGCCCCCCAGTATCTCCCGTGTCGTCGTCGTCCCCCCCAGTAACCCCCAGCGGGCTCGGCCCGGG